GGAAAGATAATCTTTTCGTGACATTCGGCACCACTTGCTTTGAAACTTTCATAGCTTGGCCTTTCCTTATAATGATTGTTAACAAGCCATAGCCCTAACAGGCTAATTAGGGTCTGAAAACTTATCTTAAAGCTCAATTCTCATAGGGTTCTCAAAATTGTACATGGTGTTCCTTCCTTTTTTTCTTTTTTACCCATTGAGTTATTAACTTTTATCCCTTTCAGAGATTACTAGCAACAGGAAAAACTAGCTCATAGCTCTGCTAGCACGAAGAGAAAAAAAGACAATGTTTATTGTTTTGAAGGAGACTACACTTATACAGCATTATTAAAGTTGAACGGTGTAAGACTGTAAAGGGCATCTCTAGGACTGAGGCAGCAGGTTTTGTCCTTGCTTTTCTTATCACCGTCCTTGGTACCTGCTCAGGTCTTTGAAGCCATGTAGCTGGAATTATAATGATAAATCCAAAGTGCTCTTTCTCCCCCCCTTCCAGCTCTATTTGCCCAAGCTGAAGTGACAGATGTTTGAATGCGAGTGCAGATGTCTATGAGAGGAATTTAGCTATGTTAGGACTATTGAAGTCATGTGCAAACACTCTGTCACTGTGTTCGCTCATTCTGAGCCCCTTCTGTAAGTCCTTGGGACTCACGGGTGTTGGTTTTCCATCCTCACAGCTAGTTAATTACTGTTAATTACACTCACCTGGCATCCCAGGTGTAAATCAGTCCCATATTAGACGGCTAGAGAGGAATGAAAAGAAGCTCTGCAAGAAGATAAAACCCACCAATGCAAACCTGACATTCTAGCAGCGGGAATTAGTCATTCCTTGGGTGCACAATCCATCTGTGATGTCCAGGGCATTGCAGGAGCTATTTTAGGATGAAGTGTTGTAGCTTTTTTTTCTTTTGGTACATTCAGTTTTCTTTATCCTGCGTATTTATTTTATGCTGCATTTCTTTTTATGGTTTACAAATTTGCTACTTGTTTTTCTAATTCAGGCGCTACATATAGCAAAAAGGTGTTAATCCTTAATAGGGATGGATATCGTTTAGGTTTTATCCGATACCGGTGCCAAATCGGTACTTTTGAAACGGTGCCGGTGCTTAAACGGTGCTCAAACCGGTGCTTAAAGAATGGAGAACACAAACTGTCCAAAAACCTCTCATGTTCAGCTGTTTGTTTGTTTTTTGTAAAAAGATAACAATGTTAGCCTTTTCTGCAGCTATGTGGCATGGTATCACTCTTGGCTGGAAGCAGTGCTTAAACAATGGTAAAAAAAACACAAACTTTGTCCAAAAACCTCTCATGTTCAGCTGTTTCCCACTTTTTCTTTGGTCATTTTAGCCTTTTTGTCCAGGGTGAAGGGAGTATCTGCCATCAAACAAGAGGACAGCCGCATGTAACTATGATGATGTTTGCTAGTTCACCTTACTAATTAATGTAATAACGTGGTTAGCCTACTCAACGTAAATTACACTCGAACAACATTAAGCGACTCACGCAGAGAAGAACGGCTGCTGCTGCATCAATATCCTCATCATTTCTGCTACACTGGCAGGGCTAGGGACCAGGACTCTATTCTTCGGGTTTTTGGGGGATGTTGCTCCGGGTCCGATAACTGGCAACCCACCCAACGTGCACAGTGTGAGGTCTCGCAGCAAGCTATCAAATACGGCGCATTTCTCGGCTTTTAAAAAAAACGCTATGCGTCGCCAGGTGTTTCATCGGATTTGAGGGGTTTCCTCCTTTGACAGTATCACAGTATCAGCTTAAAGCACTTGTTGCAGGCTGCTGAGTTTGCATATTTTGCTGTGAAGTACAGCCAGACTTTTGACCGCTTCGCCTTGGACATTTTTAATCTGTAGCTCTGCTCTAACAGAACGTACGTACCTGGCCCCGCCTACTATCCTGGGAAACGTAAAATGATTGGCTAGAAGTGTATCACAGCTCAGGAAAAAAAAGCACCGAAATAAAGCACCGAAATGTGCGCTGCTTTTCGGTCTGGTTACTACCGTTTATGTCAGAACCGGTGCCATCATGGCACCGGACACCGGTACCCATCCCTAATCCTTAAGCTAATGAATGGTCCGTATTTAAAGGTCAGTTCAGGTAAATGTTGCTATCTAAAAATTTAAATAGCATATGGGTATCTTATTTCCAGATTGGCTACAAGTATGTGTTAGTATAAACAACAAGCCTTCCAATTTAAATAACAAATTGTGCTAGTACCTGCCATCCAGGATAACACGTTTATGCCACTCGGAGACCTGGAGCCTCACAGCTTTGGTTTGAATGTGCAGGTGGAAAGAACAAAAGTAGCAGCAATACTGGAGGAACTGCCTCTTCCATCTCATAAGCAGACACACTGTTTATTATGGCTCTATTATGTTTGAGCAGGTACTGTAAGAATTTTCTGTGTTAAATTACAACATTACATCTTTTTAATGTTAAAACAGTTACAGTACTCTGTTGTACAATACTGTTAGCTGTTTGTTAGCAGTGCTACTCCTACTTTAGTGTTGCTACTGTAGCCTCCATAAACGTTTTTTTATTTTAAAATATAACTGCACATCTTAACTCCTGTTACCTGATGGCCTGTACACACATACATGGGTATTTTTGTTAGCTTAGCTTTTCTGTGTGTTTTACATGGAAACATTTCTGTACAGTTAGGGATAAAAGACTTTTCTTTGTCAAGTTCTTGACATCATTATGGATGAAGATGGGTTTTTTTTTAAAGGAAAACTTCCTGTTTAAAAGACACCCATGCATGTGTAGAAATAAATTTATACACTAATTTGTGCTTCTTTTAAGACAGATATTTCAATATTTCACTGTTTTGTTTTAGCTTTATTATCTTTTGTAAGATGAGACACCAGAACCATGAAGACTAGGTACAGATAGTGGTTCAGGGTGGATGTTTCCTTTGCTGTGGAAAACAAAGTACTCTGCATTTCCAATTTGATATAAGAGACACACTGGAAACAGTTCAACATAAACATAAAAATCTTAGCTCCGTAGAGTAATGCGGCTCCTTAAGCCCGAATTCGAAGGCAATAATTGAAAATGTGAAATATTCTTTCATTCCCTCTCGGACTAACCTCGAGTGACAGAATCTATTGGGGATATAAGCGGGCACTGTTTGGGGTGTTTATAGTGTGGAGATAAAATACAGAATTTACTGCTATGCAGAGAGGCAAGCAAACAGGGAGGTCTTTCTTTGTAGCTCAAACCTCTGTGATGCTGGCACTGTAGTGAAGACAACCTCAAAAACACATCCAAGGCACAGGGGAGCTGTAATGCACTGATAGTTGTTTTTGTGTGTGTGTGCACTGCATCGGTGTGGACTTCTTTAAACAATATTTCCTCTACAAGATCACAGAATATTACACACATTCAACATTGTGCATTTGATTCCAAGTTTCTGATCTCGCTAAGGATTTCATGGTGGCTTCTCCAGAGATCCTTTGAGACCCATTTTCTTGTAGTGCTAGTGAAAGGTGAGAACCCCATCATGCCTTTAGGGTATTTGTGAAAAAGCTCAACGCTTACAGATTGAACAAAATGCACAACATGAAATTTCTGTATTACTGCTAAGCTTTTCTTTTTTCTATCAGTGCAGTCTCTGAAAGCTAAATTGTTGGGATGGCACTGTTCTCTTCTTTGGTATTATTTGTTTTGTAGGTTGGAGGTCTGTATGTGGGCTATGTTAACAGAACCAGGACTATCGTGAGCCTAGCCATTTCACTTCCAGCCTACGGATAATAAATTAACACCAAAGTTACGTGAGTGGGTTAGCCACATTTGCATGAGTTGCCATAGGCAGTAATATTAATAGGTTCCACTCTGCAACACCATGGAGACAAATAATTGTATTAATCTTGGATTTTGTGATATCCTCTTACAAAAGCTGAAGCTATAACAGGAGATCCAACTCTCCAAACAGAAATAACATTGCTGCAGCAGGAAGTCTGCTTGTCATCCAGCAGCCTCTCACCCTATCATCCGCCCATTCATTATCTCAAACCGTAAATAGCATTTAAAATTATTTAATATTCACTTTACAGAGTGCCATGGCAACAGCTGTTTCTCCAGTGGCATTAAAATTGCCTCTCCTCTGAAGTCACAAGCCTGATTCTGGAAACACAAACACCTGTGGAGAATCGTGCTACATGGGCTCCACCTAGTGGTACAAAATGGGAACTCAAAGAGCACGACAACTCTGACACTGCCAAGATAGACTTACGATCAACTTATTGGTCAATTAATTCTATAATGGCCTATCTTTGAGAAACTGTTTCCAATCAACTTTACAAACTGAACAATACAAATCAACTCTCGGAGCCTACAAGCCACAGCCTATGATCCATTTCAGATAAAACTGTGGGCATAGAAATAGAGAGGTTGGGGGGGGAACCCCCAAAACAAAACAAAAAAAACCAAAAGAAACAAAAAAACAAAACACACCACACTTAGAAACTTTAGAGTTACTACATGAAAACAGCACTGTCCTCAGATCGTCTAGGTTCACAGTGCTTGGCATGCATGCAAAGCACTCGCACAAAACAAAGACACATGAGTGCAGTTTAAAGAACGTCTTTAATTAAATTAGGAGTCTTATCAAAATTGTTCAAGTTTTCAGGACAAACAACAGTGCAATCATTGACAGATGAGTATCTGTACACACAAGATAGATTACTATAGTCTAAGACAAAGGCCACAGCTTCAAGTAATGTAAACAGTAACAAGAACATATATACACTACCCTGCAAAAACAACAAGCAGGGGAAATTTCATACTTTTTATATTTCAGCCCTCGACACAGATGAAACTATATGTCTAAAAGTATACAAACATTTTAACAGTAAGCACCAAGTGGATGTAAATGCTCCTTCTCCATTTTCATATAGGCTGGTAATGTATGAACAAACTGTTACATTAATTAATACTCTGCCATTGTGCAGTGCAACAACTCTTAAAATAACACTTTCCACATGCTGTTAAAATGCCATTTTCAGCCATTTAGGAAGTATTATTTATTACCCTTTGAAACCGGCATTATTCATTTTGTTCATTTTGCACTTGCCACCGTGCCCTTTGGAAGAATATTGTAGTGGTTTAACACAAACACTAATGTGTTCAATGTTTCTGGCCCATCACCACACATAAAGCACTTTTTTTTTTGGTCATCCACAGTTTGCACTCTTTTGCCGGTTTCTCCTTTCATTTTGTATCCATGGATGAGTCATCGAGACATTCCATTATCCTCTGCAACTCCTGTATGCAGGGAACAATTGACTGGCTATACAGCTGAGCCATCTTCATTCTAGAGACAAAAAGATTAGAGCCATCTGTTAGGGTTGATTGAAAAACATCTAGTCACACTTGCACTAATAACTCCCTGTTATATATTATTTTTTGCTCTTAAATAATCTTAAATCTATAAATAAAAGCTTTTTTGCACCAAGTTTATTTAGAGTCTACACAGTGCCAACAGAACATTAGCAAATGTTAGCAACAACCTCAGAACACAAAGTGAAGCTCAATTCACTTTAGCTGCTAAAATGACTGACAGGCGCATGGAAGAAAGTGGAGAGGCAAACACATTCGTGATCTGTGAATCGGTGTTGAAAGGTGTGTAAACTTGCACTCAACAGGTGACAGACTTCAGTAGGATGTCCATGATGCTTTGCTTAAACTTGATATTCAAGTCAATAGTTTGTTGCCAGCCCATCAGCAGAGAGGTTGCGGAAAGCCGTTGGTGTATATAAACACCACCCACATGCATGTACAAGTATTATGTTCTAACCAAACTGAGGTGTTTATAGTGCAATCCTCTGCCTAAACCTCACTACAAGGAAGGGGGCGGGTGGGTGCCGTGGCATCCCGCATCAGAGCAAAATGAGTGTTACCTTCTGAGCAGCTCGCGTCCTCTGTTGGGTTCGGGGGAATAGTGCTGGAGAGCGGTGAGGCTGTGAGCCACCAGGATGCTGTAACACTGCTCTCGAAGGGCGTTGTGGCTCGCAGTGTCCCACTGCGGCAGCTCACTGGTGTAACGCCACGCCATCAGTGAGTGCTCCAACACGGCGTCCCAATCTTTGTTCCTCAGCAGAACTTGGCCCCACTCCTGACACGAAACCTGAGGTGGAAGACGAGGAGGTGTTTAATGTGACATAAATGTACTTAAGAATAGCAAAAGGAGATCTCCACTGGACACAAATAGCAGCCTTAAAGAACCTACTTTTAAAGGCCTAAAAACACAACTGTGCATGACAAAGACTCACTTTGAATGCCACCAGGTGAGGGTATGCCTTTCTGTAACAGTGAGCGTCCCTGTTGGATCCAAACCGTGAGTAAGGTATGGACCTGTAAACATTGGCCTTCTTTAGCTGCAGGTCTTCCTGTAGATACTTCAGGTCTGATGCCATGACCCTGGGCTCTTGGCTCTAGGGTACAACAGGAATGCACGCCTTGTTAAATTATGTCAATCGCAGCGTTTCTTCAAAAACACTGCCGCATTAGCTTTACTATAAGCTCAATTGTCCACTGATGAATACCTGTTCGACCAAGATGAGGGATCTAATGAGCTGCACAAGCTGCTGTTTGGAAAGCGGTGTGTGGTGCTCATCCATCTTCTCACACTGCTCCTCTAGCCTTCCTCTCCACGCTCCACCAACTGCCAAGTCCACTGCAAAACCAGGGAACACCAAGCAAAGTTAGCCCTTAACTCCCTTTCTAATATCAAGCGCGTTTTGTTTTTTGCCATGTAGCTTCCAATAAGGTCAGATCACAAAATCAACCGCATATCAGCTCAGCAAGTATAGCTACAATTAACTTAAGGTTAACAGCGTAACTTACATGACTGCATACGCTTTGTGCTTGCGGCTGTGTTTCTTCCTCTTGGAAGTGGGGACGGGGTCGGGACCATACGTGAACTTAATATTTCCAAGTAGGACCTCCTCATTCGAGCTGTAAAGAATTTAATATTTTTAAAAGTTGCATTGTTAAAATATTTAACATAATTTTACACTCACAGCATGATACGAAACTACCAGAAATACTTTTGTTTTTTCAAATTTGGCGCTGTTATCGACATGTAGTGGGCGCGAGCGCCTCGATAGCTCGAGCAGGGTGGCGCCTCTCTCCAAACAACAAGTTACACATGTTAAATGAAGAGCTAAAAACTCACCGGCAATTTTGGGCTGTGGAGCAGGTATTTCCGCCAAGGCCCGTCGTGGCTGGCACACAGCTGCCATTGCGACTTAACTTACGGTTTATAACACTCGGGGCTTACAACCTGCTTCGGCCTGGGGCGCTTCTGTTAGCCGAAATTTAAACCCCACGGAGTGGCGAACAATAACTTCTCCACGCTGGTAGCAGTTTAAACTCGGCAGCCACGAGCTTGTTCCGAAGACGTCCTCGCAGTTCTTTGAGCTCTGCCTGAGTTTAACTTGCTACACAAAAAGTCCTCCTGTCAGGTAAACCTGCTGAAACGGTGACAAAAAGACGCTTGTAACTTTTGGTTCTTTCACTTGCACACTAGTACAATGCTGATTGTGAAGCGCGCGACACGAGTTACCGCGCGGGCGTGGTTTGTGGGATTCGCTGACCTGATTGGTTAGACGTCACGACATGCTCAGAACAGGCGCCCAGTATGCAAATTAAACATACTTCTCCGTCCTGCACGTACTCTTCTCTACTTCTCTTTGGCTCTTGGGGAAAACATCACGTGAACGAACAGCCAGCTGTGGCTGAACCCAGAGCCCTTTAGGTAGTAAACTGCATGGCTTGAGACCCGCGTGCATGATACATCTCTGCCATGGACGGAGAGAGGAAGTGCAGTACATATAGCATATGTGAGGCAATGCTTACTTGTAGGCCTGTAAGAATCTTGCAGATTCGAACATTTGATATGGGGATAGTTTTGCATGGCGACCCCGAACTTCCATTTGGTTATTATTATTATTGGTATTTTTAAATGTCATATCTCTTCTCTTACACACAGACATAGGGTTACAGAGACTATAGTACAAACAAAATAGGGTTTTTAAGGCTGACATCAATGCCGATATTTGGTGATTTAAAAATTGGATACTCCCATATATTGGCCGATTTTCTTTTTCTTTCCAATACACAAAACACAAGTAGATTTCCCGACTGTTCTTTATCTGTAGTTATTTACATACTGATCGCCTGGTTGTTGTTTTTGTAGTATTACAAACTTGTATTACCAACTAGGAAGTTGCAGAGTGACCTCTGGTGGACAAACTATGCAACAATTGGGGTCAACGCTCACCATAAGTTTGACGGGTGTATCTCCTGTCTCTTCTTTACTTTTTAATTTCCATTTATGGGTCAGTACCGATAACACCAGCTGCTGCTATGGGGTTCTAATAGAGACACTTGGTTAGCAGAGGTCTCTTCATTTAGGATTGTGTATGATTGTCAGAAGTAGTTAGATACTTAATTTCTTACCTTACAGTTACAGTTACAAATCGCCAGATTTGTAGTTTTAAAACTAGCTAAACTATACTTGGATATCTTTTCATTTTAATGCTACTAGGCTGCTTTTGACCAAAGTCAAAGTGGACTAGAAGGATACTGCAGGCACATTAACCTGGGTTCTCTGCTGGAAGGTCCGTCTGTCTCAGCAGGATGACACTATCTCTCCTCTTCTCCCGAGTTGATTCTATTGATCTGGATGTAGTGTTTTCAGTGGGAGAAACGTTTCGTCACTCATCCAAGTGACTTCATCAGTCTCAGCTGACTGCAGGTTTCCCCAATCTTATAAACAGTACATTTGCATAATGACTGAAACTAGCACCACTGAAGGAACAATGGGCAAATTCTCATGACCATTGATAAACAACCACTGATCAAAGCCCACTGATCAAAGCCCACTGATCAATGGCCATGAATACCATTCACAGAGAGTGGGGGAATTGCTGCAATCACAGCATTGCAAGATGGCAAAAGATGTACTCTTAAGCCCCCTCCTCGATTCAGAGATGGTCTTTCCCTTTTCACGTAAATGGCCTCCTTGACTCCCTGCTCAAACCAGCGTTCCTACCTGGAACAGAATCAACTTTTGGAGATTTACTTACCTGGATGATTGAGCATGCATTAAGATAACACTCCTCTTCTTCTTTTGGCTCCTCCCCTTAAGGGTAAACACAGCAAGCCATCTGCATCCATTCACCCTATCCCTAGCATCCTCTCCTGTCTGTACCAGTTGATTGTTGATGCATGTATGTCAAATTACCTGTAATATATAGCAATGTGCTTTAACACCCAATCCATACCTCCTCAACTGATATAAAGACTGAAATATTACTGTGAAAAGACAACTTAAAATTTCCACTGTGTGAGAGAAATATCAGGAAAATGAGTAGTTTTACACTAGACATTAGTTTAAATAGATTCACATTTCACTGTCAGTTTAAAAAGCGGGGTATTTTAATATATCCCCCAATAAATCGCATGTAAACTGACAGACAGTACCTTTTATGAAACAGACATTAAAATAAATGGCTGTTGATTTTAGGATGGCAAACTTTACAAAACAAATCACAGCATGATTGCATGTTGTAGTAACTCATTCAAACCAAAGCTGCATGGAATAAGACAAGTTTTTCTGCAAAATATCTTTTAATAGGTTGGTTGGTGGGTTGCTGAAAAAAAGCAGTGATTTCTTCTTTGTTGAGAGACATAACCACATCTTGATACACAGCGTGGTTTAGTAAATCATTCACGCACAAAACTCATTCCAAAAGCGATGGTAATAAAAAAACAAACTAAAAAAGTAATCGGATATAATCCACACAGTGTGTTCAATCTGAAATATGCCTTTAAACTTTGCTAAGTTATATATACATATATATATATATATATATATATATATATATATATATATATATATATATATATATATGTATGTTGATGTTGATGTTCCCCCAACATCAAATATAAACTTTGCTAAACTTTTGCTAAGTTAGCAAAAGTTTAGCAAAGTTTATATTTGATGTTGGGGGAAATTATATATTTCTTTTTTTAAATATATATATAGCAAAATAATCTAAGTGGTAGTAGATTAGTGGTACAATACAAAGTGGTTGTGTGAATGAAGTGCAATGTTTAGTGTAACCTGTATGTTCAACACTTTTACTGAATTTTCCAGTCATCTTGTAAAATAAACAAAAACCAAAGAAAGAAAAACAAGCATCATAATGTAATCTGTTAAAATCAGCTCACTGTTACACAGTCATTTTAGAGCATTTAAATATAACTATACCGCTTCCTCACTGGACTGACAATGAAACTTGTTTTTTTACTTACATGTCTAGAGGTACATTTTCTTTTAAAATAAATACAGTTATTTTAAAACTGCTGCTCGTGAACTGATTGAACTGAAAGTGAAGTCACCCCTAGCCCTGCACAGTATCAAAGCAAATTAACCCTCTCCAGGCAGGCGTTGCTGATTTGCAACATTTAAAAACTAACAACCTGATTACCCCACATACATATTTTATGAGTTTTTTTTTTACTCAGATGTACCACTGCAGGACTTGGTTGTGCATTAGCAACAAAAAGTTTAATCTGAGCCTGAGAGGGTTAAACTGAATACTCGATGGCTTCTTGAAACTGCTACAGTAAATTTGATAATTAATTATGTACATTATATACACATTTTCTAAATAACTTACATAATGCACACTTAAAAGGGTATAATTTCTATTAGGTACATATCATATTACAAAGGTCTGTGACAGTATGGCTTTGTAAATATGCATTACAATATTGTCATCAGAAAAAAAGCAAGTGCAGTCAGAGGACTCTTTAAGCATCTTATACATCTATTCATTGTAAATGTTATGTAACTTTAATGTTTAGTCTAACTCCTGCCTTTTGCTTTTTAAACTTTGATATGGAGACAGCTCTAAACCTTTATGAAAAATACATGACTCTTACAGCTGACTCAAAGACGACAAGACGCTTAAAGACATACTCCCGCTGACAGCAGAGGCCACACTATAAATTATAAGGAGTAGCCTCTACTTGCTAAGCAGCGTTTTAAGGGAGCGGGTGAGTGCGTTAGCAATGGCTGACATGGTACTAGAGTGGCGGACCAGGGCTTTCATGCTGTGCTCCCCTGGCGCTCCAACAGTGGCAGCCTCAGCTGCTTTGAGCAAACAGATATAGTTCATAACAACCTCGTCAACCTTTGCCACGACTTCTCTCTGTTGGTGTGAGGCTGAGGCTCCGAGTCCCCTAACCAGACACATGCAAGCTTCGCAGAGACAACAAAGCACCTGAAAGCTACAAGTCACGGCTAGCAGCATTTCCTCTGGACTGCTGTGGGCCTGTGCCATCCTCCGGCACGCCCGGCCTAATTCTTTTGACTCAACGGAGAGGAGCTGTTTATACTGTGATACATCCTGGTTAGGCATCTGGATGCCGCGCTCACAGCGACCTATGCTGGATCTCACTAATGCGATGAGCTCGCTGGCATCACGGCGGGCATCAGTGAAGCCGGAAGGGAAACCGTACATGTGGTCTTTGAGGGCGTTGATTCGTGCCAGTCGGTCACTGAAGCTCATGTTATTAAGGACCTCGCCATACAGCTGCTCGCCAGCAGCGTCCAGTGCGGAACCGCAGGGGAATATGGCTGAAGCAGCACCGTTATCCTCGAAATCAGGTCCACTGCGACTTCGTCTGGGCCTCTCCCATTCGATCTCATCCTCTTCGCCCTCACTCTTACGTTTAAAGAAACAGTAACTAAAGGGCCCATTACATCTCCAGGGACTTGTGTCCAGTTTTTGAGAGCCCTTCATTTGTTTCACATCTTTCTGCAATGGAAAAGCCACAGATGCCCTTCTACTGTCTACCCTACTGCCTGTGGACCAGCACGTGGTGTGGGAAGACACAGAGCCTTGGGAGTAGCTCTTGGAGAGCCTCTTCCTAGTTGGTCTCCGCTGGACTTTGGTGTCACCTTGCGGGGGCAGAGACAGTGACAGGGGCTGCTGGCTCCGGCTTCGGGTGGGCTTCTCAAATAGAGCTTCAACACTACCAGAACTTGCAGTTACATTGCTAGAGCTCCGTTTAAGCTCCCGGCCCCGTTGCAGGCTACTGAAGGGATCTGTGTGTGGTAGCGTCGGGGTGACAGCCTGAATGTGGTTCTGACTCGGCCGGGACTGGACAGAATGATTGGGGTCCTGTGTGCATCCTGAATTGCTGGAACTAGTGTTGACTTGAACAGGCTGGGAAAAAGAAGGAGGTGGTGGGGGAGGTGGTGGGGGAGGTGGATTCTGAGGATTGGGTGTTGGAGATGTAATGCAAGCTCTTGGACCAGCTGATGCCTGCCTGACAAAAGCAGAAGGGTGGTCTCCCCTTCCTAGTGAGATAGTGTTGAGGTCTGCTCTTTGACCACCGGGGGCAGCAGAGAAACAAAGAGAATCGTTAGGGCGGGACTGACGAACTGCATGCTTTGACTTCAGGTCTGATCTGAACCATTCCTCTTTGCTGCTAACTTGGCTTCTTGATCGAGGTGGATGACGGCTAGTGGTACCTCCCCCCTCACGGTTTCCGCCTGTAGCAAGT